GCAGAAAACTGTGGAAGAACAATGTACTTCCATCCATCAATAATCCCTCCATGTAGCTCTGTTCTGGCTCCCAGCAGCTACACATAGTTTGCATGCTTGGCTGATTGACTGCATTGTCTAGTGTGTCATGCATAACCACTACTTTAGATACCATGAAAAGTATCTCTTATAGCTGCAGGGAAAAACAAATGACATCATCAAAATAAATAACATACAAGCAGGACTACACATGATCCAAATGCAGTGGAGGAAAAACTAGTGAGTTTGGCTGGAGAGTTCTAGTTTTCATTAAAGAATGCCCGTATAATAAATTAGCACTGAGTGTTATTAACTAAGCAGAGACTTCCTGTTTTTGTTTTTTGTTTTTGTTTTTTGAGCTTGACTCATGCTAACTTAGTAATACATATTTGTTTGTGTCACCATGTAAAACTACATATTACATTTTAGGTTACATTCAGGAAGAGAACCTGTTTCATTGACACTTAGGTGTTCATATGATGGCCATTCTACACAAATACGCAAAAAAGAAATGATATGGCTTGCAACAACACTGGGACCTGAAATGTGTAGATTACAGTAGTATCTGTCTTTACCATTAGACTAGCAAGTTATAAAACTGATAATTTAACAAACAACAAACAGGAAAGACTAATTTGGTGTCTGAAATGTTTTTTCCTAAAGTTGTTTAAACTCTGGATAATCTTAGAAGTACAAGAACAGGACCAAGTGTCTTTACAGCAGTCCTATTTCTCACCCATATCACACAACAAGAGAGAGCCCACTTTGGATGTTCTCACTACGCAAACATTCTGTTTGGTTTAGCTGAGGACGCTGCTAGATGGTGCGCAGGAGACGGAGCACATGGCACTCACCTGCTCAGTGTGATTTAACCTGCACTGTTCTCACATGGGTGTAGTCTGGCATCACACAGGCTTTCTGCTAGGGAGCTGGGACATTAAAGACGGGTTAATATCAAATTTGCATTCTGACAGTAACCTTAATTGGGTAATATGTAGAAAAGTTCAGGGCAGCGTCCCAATTTTGAAATGCTGCTGAAAAGTAACAAGATGAAGTCATTTTGAACAGACCAGAAGGGGGAGGTTTAGAATCCATCCCTGCTCAACTCTGCATTACCATAAGACACAGTCACAGTACACAGTCACAGCACTGGGACAATGCAAATATTGCAAATTAATTCCACCGTGGTAAACTAGCAATTTGCAGACTGTTCTGTTTCAGTGGCTGTCAGTTCAGCCTTGAGATCGTCTTTCTGTCTCCTGATTCAAATCACATTGTTCAATTCAACTCGTTGTTAATCAGTATTTTAAATCCTGTTTTAGAACACTGATAAATGTATGAACAGATTACTTGTCAGGTGTGGTGTTTGGTACTGTTTCAAACGGTTTTTAGTTGAGTAAAACATTCATTCTCTTGTTAAAGCTGTTAAAACCAATTCAATGCAAAAATAGTCTTTCTGAACATTCGATATTAGCTTAGTGGCTAACAGAAAAGAATTGCCTAGAGGCTTTATTAATTTAAATGTGATTTTTACCAAGAAATAAATCTACAGTAAAATCCAGCTGACCTGATGCTCTCTCGGTAGCTCCATTGCTAAAACCTGCTGCTTCAGTGAGTGCTTCAGATTGACACTTAGCTGTAATGTGTTCGCCTACAGGATATATTACCAGACACATATCAAATTATGGAAACGCTGATGGTTTGATGGTGTGGGGAATCCTTTATTGGCAAACCTGTTCCATTAGCAACAACAGACGGGGTTTAAATGCCACAGCATACCTGAGTATTGCTGCTGACCATGTACATCCCTGTATGACCTCCATGTACCCATCTTGTGATTGCTCATTCCACAAAATAATTTGCCATGTCTCAAAGCTCAGATCAGCTCACAGCTCAAAATACTCTTATTCTGAAGGATTTTTCCACTTTCCCTTAACAGTGGCTACTGTATCACTGAATTAAGTGACTTCCTGATGTAGACCATAATACATTGGGCACTCTTTGTGTTATGGACACAGTAACTTGTCAAACTTATGATATCAGTGGCAGGAGGAATAAATGTTTTCTTATTTCTGATTAACCTTGTAAGACTTGGCAGTGTGATGTTTATTTTCAGGGTGTGAATTTATTGCAGTCACTGGTGGAAATATCTGCAAATAAAAGATCAGATCTTACATTTACAATATAACAGCGGTAAATACAATCAGCAGTTTATGGTGGATTGACTACCAAAGACTCTACTGCCATCTAGTGGTAACCTCTAATATCACTATATAGCTCGGTTACTTTAAGTGAAAGCAGATAATATTCTAAGTTGAAAAATATATAAAAAGCTAATGCAGTAAAGAAAAAATTGTTACCATCTAAAATTTGGTAAATTCTATAACACCAGCTGTTTATTGTTTGGTAAGTTAATTCTTGTTAAAGTATTGTCTTCTTGTTAATCATTATAATGACAGCTAACTATGAAGTGGAAGGCCACCTAAAATCTGAGTGCGGTCAGTAGATGCTGAGATGCATAGTGCACAGAGGTTTCCAACTTTCTGTAGAGTCTGTGTCTACAGACCTGCATATGTCATGTGGCATTCAGTGGGTTTCCATGGCCGAGCAGCTGTACCCAAACCTTAATCACCAAATGCAATGCAAAGACGTGTTCTCTGGACAACCCCCAAAGGTTGATTGTGTTCATCTGTACGTAGCGTTTTCAGTGGGAGAAACGTTTCGTCACTGATCCAAGTGACTTCTTCAGTCTCAGCTGACTGCAGGTTTCGCCAATCTTATAAACACTACGATGTACAATACAGTTTGCACAATGACTGAAACCAGCCCACTGAATGAACAATGGGCTGTGAGGTCAGTTCCTTGATCATTAATCTGCAAATTGTCATGACCACTGATCAACAACGATTGATCAAAGCCCATTGATTAAAGGCCCTTGATCAATGGCCATGAGTACCATTCACAGAGAGTTGGGGAATGGCTGCAATCACAGCATTGTAAGATGGTGAAAGATGTAAAATTAGGCCTCCTCGATTCAGAGATGGTCTTTCCCTTTTTCCTCCCTGTCCAGGATGTGTACATCCTCATCATTGAAAGAGTGGCCACTGGCCTGTAGGTGTAAATAGACTGCGGAGTCCTGGCTTGACGAGTTAGCTCTTCTGTGTTGTGCCATCCGCTTTGCCAGGGGTCGTTTGGTTTCCCCGATGTATAAATCATGGCAATCCTCCTGGCACTTAACAGAGTACACTACATGGATGTGACGAAATGTTCCTACCACTGAAAGTGCTACGTCCAGATGTACAGGATCAACCTTTCGGTATTTACTTACCTGGATGATTGAGCTGCATCCAGACGTTTTCTGGATAAGTTTGTCATTGACGGTCGCCATGAGAACTATACTTGTCTGACTGCATCATGCTAAGTGTAAAGTTTGGTGTAGGGGGGATTATGGTGTAGGGCTGTTTTGGAACTCTTAATGCTTCAGCATACCAAGACGTTTTACACAATTTCATGCTCCCAACTAGGGCTGGGCCATATTATACCGTTCACGGTAATACCGGTATAATGTTAGGCAACGATAGGAAAATGAAATATCGCGATAGATATGGAGTAAAACGCGCATGCGCAGTGCCTTTGTTTTCATACGCACATGGCCGATTGTTGAGTGAAACAGATGAACCAGAATTGGTTTGTAAAAATGGTGCAACTTCAGTGATGTGGAACTGGTTTGGTGTTTGTCCGTCAGATACACAACAAAGCACATTTTTTTGCAGAACATGCAAGCGGCCGTCGTTATTGTCGTATTTGTCGGACTAAGATGCTCTTAAATCTGGGAGTAATCTGGGTCCTAAACTCCGTATGCTTCAGGTCAAACAACACTGCAGCATCACTTAGAGTTAAAAACTGTCTAAATTCTTTCATCTTTAATAAAACGATCAGCATTGCTGCTTTACCAGGTGTAACTATGAAGTTTAACTTCCAGGCATCCATGAAAACAAATTATTACATTTAACGGAGTTAGAAGTTAGCAGGAAGCTAGCGGAAGTTAGCTCGCTAGTTTCGCTAGTTACCTAAGCATGATATAGCATGTTCTGACTGAGAGATTTCTGAAAAAATTCAAACTACAGCTCTGCTATCACTTCCAACATAAATGAAGACAGGAAACTAAACAGCAGTGACGTTTGTAGGGTTACTGAAGTTGGGCTAGCTGGTATATAATGATGTGCTACGTGATCGCTAGCGACACAGCTATGTTAGCATAACATAAACAGTGAAGCTGGAGGACGAACACTAACACTTTTCCACTTATAAAAGTTAACGTGAAGGTTCTTCATGGTTAGAGACAAATGCAATCGCATGGCAGGATGCTGTAAACGGACCAAACTTCAGTCAGGAGAACAACTGAGATAATCCATCCACAATACGAGGTTAGTCATTAATATACTGCAACAACATGGGAATAGAGCAGCTGCCAGAGAATTCAACATTAATGAATCAATGGTACAGAAGTGGAGGAAGCAAGAAGAATGAGTTTAATAAAGTTTGATTTATCTGACTGCTTTGTTTCGCTTAATGTGCCTTATAATCCCGTGCACCTTATGGTCCGAAAAATACGTACTGCACACTGCAGTTTAATGTTGCAAAGCACCTCTTTTTAACTTCAGTGGATATTATACATGGTTATGCTCAGGATATGTCAGCCCATTTCTACTGGAAATGCCTTTTGGTTAAACTTTCAGCAAGGAATTTGCATTTGCACTGTTACATTTTTATAAAGCTTTAATGTACATAAAAACCAGCTTCTTGTTTAAGTGAAAATAAATGGAAGGTTGTCTTTTTGCGCTAGTAATGTTGTGGAGTTGTATTTTGTCTCGCATCAATTATATCGTCAGTTATATCGTTATCGCAAATTTTCAAATATATATCGTGATAAATATTTTTGGCCATATCGCCCTGCTCTACTCCCAACTTTGTGGGAACAGTTTGGGGATATCCATTTCCTGTTCCAACATGACTGTGCACAGTCCATAAAGACATGAATGAGAGAGTTTGTGCAGGCCAGTCCAGTTCTTCCACACCAAAGTCCTGACCTCAACCCGACAGAACACCTTTGGGATTGATTAATTAGAGTAGAGACTGTGAGCCAGGCCTTCTTGTCCAACATCAGTGTCTGACCTCACAGAAGTGTTTATGGAAGAATGGCCATAAATTCCAATAAAGACAACCCTAAACTGTGGAAAGCTTTCCAAGAAGAGTTGAGGCTGTTATAGCTGCAAAAAGTGGGCCGAAAAAATTAACTGAAATAAAACTGAAAGTGATTTAAAAACAAAGAAATCTAATGTAAAATAAAAAACGTTACACTAACTCTGCTGACCAGCTTTTTGGAGCACATTAGTTAACACAAGATTAAAGATGGTAAATGGCCTGTATTTGTATAGCGCTTTACTGGTCCCTAAGAACCCCAAAGCGCTTTACACATCCAGTCATCTACCCATTCACACACACATTCACACACTGGATTAGAGATTAAAGATGAGACTTTCTCATTTTAATCAACTTGAGGAAGATATTATTTTAAGCAACAATTTCACTATGAATGGCAAAAGTGAATATGTTGACACATTCATCATGCAATATAGTATTTTTCCAATGAAGTTCACAAGGCTGAAGTAACAGGTTTTTACTTTGTTTCTAGAATATTTTCAAATATTTGAAATGCAATTTATTAAAAGGGCAAAAATGTGCTGACTATTGAAGAGAAACATGTCCAGCAGGGAGGAGGGGCAGGAAACACTGATGTCAGCACGGATGAAGTGAAGGGAGGACTGCTTTGCTTTTTCCTGTTTTGTCCCCACTTCTCCTCCCCCTCCTCTTATCACTGAAGTGGAGATGGAAAGAACTGGGATCAGAGCGCGGACGAAGGATTAACAACTGAGTGAAAATGGGGAAAGATAAAGGCAAACAGACTGACACAGTGTGAACGAGAAAGTGAGGGGAAACGGATACCAAAACGAGTGAAGGCGTTGAATAGATTAAAAAGTATACCACAGAAGAAGCCACAAAGATAGAGGGCTGAATAGCTGTTTCTGGAGTTGGGTGGACCCTTTACGAGAAAGTGTCGACATCAACCACCGCAGCTACCATGTACAGTGGATATGGAGGTATGGACAAGTGTAATGCCCTCACAGAGACTAGCTTATCTCTCTAATCATTAACTGCTTATGTTTGTCAGAATGAATTCCCAGTTGCACGTTAACAGGCCTGTAACTTATTAGGTGATGGCCAGAGAATTTGACCCCAAAATACCAAATTTAAGTTATTTTTATAGTTCATATTTTTCAAGTCTGTCTACTAACAGTGCTTGCTGTTATGTATGTGCAAAACAATGAAACTTGTGATTTCCTTCCTCAGTTACAGAGGACAAATTCCACAGTACTCTTTAAAAAATTTCCACTAAAGTTAAATAGACTTCGTCAGAGTTTATCGATTCAGGTGTGGCTACAAGGGAGTCGAGTACAAACTTTTCTGTGTTGTGTCTCTGCCGATGTAGTTTGGAAGAACAATATTGCATTTGTTTAACACAGGCTGATCCTCAGTTGAGCTTCAGATACACTTTTTTTTTTTTTTTTTTAAAGATATTTTTGTACGTGATGAGGGCCCGCTCTCCTGTTTGAATAACTGATGAAGACATCGGCATTGCTTTTAAACATATTTGAAACATACAAGAGCACATCTGACCTTTTTTACATATCGTCAATTTACAACTTTTTCATTTTAAAGTTGTTGTTTTTTTATTGTTATTGTTCATAATGTCTCCTTTTCTCATCAGTGATGAGACTTGATAGTGTGTAACAGTGATAAGACTGTTACTCAAGTTTGAGGTGTGTTTTGTTTCTGTTATCAGTTTTTCATAGTGACTCGCGGAACATAGTTATGTTATGTTCCTGGTATGTTGTGGGTAGTACATATTAAAAATAGTTTAAGGTAGGACAAGAGAACTTAGCCTCTGATGTGGTGGTTTTTTTTGGGGGTTTTTTTGTCTAATAGTCCCCTCTACTTGGATGCATCATCTTATATCCTAAGTGTCCTGCTTTTATTAATAAACAGAGTTCTGTCTTAATTTTTATGTGACTTATTTCAGACCTTCTGTTTGAAGCTAGATTCCAGGTAAAAGTGTTGTCATATTAATTTAAGACTGATATTTATTTTCAGACTTTGTTTGGATTGAGGTAAAATGATGGTCGGTGTTTAATCCTTTCACAAAGTGAATCACATGTTGGAAGGCAAACTTCTTTAATCTGCAAGAAGTTTCTGCTCAGTTTTGTTGGTCACCATAGTGGCAAGTCACATGACAATTGTGTAGTCTTAATGGTTACGTAAGTTGTTTAATGCTAACGGGGGTTCTGATCTTTGCTAACCTTGGTTTTAACCCATTTTTGCAATACATGAAAAGTAAATTCAGAAGAAATTCCATTTAAGGATTATGTGTGTATTAGCAGCACTGGTTTGGTGAAAATCCTACTTGTAAAGAGGCCTTGACTATGGAAGGTATAGGTGGTGTTTGATTTCTTCTTTATGAGATTTCTATGTTTATCTTCAGCATAAACATCAGTCACTACTTTTAACATTGTTGATATCTGTTTCTGTTTGAGCTATGACCACATCTGTTTTAATGAGATTATGAAAAGGATCAAGGTAAGACTTGTTTCAACCGAGAAGTCTCACTATATGAATGAGAAGCATAAAAAATCTTTTTCTTTTTCACTTTGTCCTTTTTGTTATCAGGCCTTCAGTTCATTGTCTCAAACGGGTTCTTTTTCTTTCCTGGAAACAAGCGAACATGGCTGCACTGTAAATGTGTTGGGTTATTCCTGTGACTCAGTAAATCCAGAAACTGCACTAGTCTTTTCCTGACCCTGCCCTTGCAGGATGTACAACACCCCCACCCCCTCCAGTTTCCTTCTCACACAGACAGTAATGTGAGGAAGGAATAGATTTAGCCATGAAAGAAAAATATATGAAGAGTGCACAGGGTGTGGGAGAAGAAACTATGAAATGGTAATGTTGCAAATAGAAGAAACTAGGTTACAATAGAAGGCATCCAGTCATTGCTGGAAATGGAGAGCAATGCTTTCCTCATCTCATAGTCAAGCAAAACTGATGTGATTATATTTATAAAAACATGTCAGTTTACTTCTTATTTATCTAATCATTAGGAATTTTAAAAGTTACAGTTCTTTCTTTCAGGTGTTTGTTTTGCTTGATAACTGGCAGAGTCTGGGGGCAGAGACAGAGGAGCAAGCTTGACACAAGTGTTTTTCCTCCTCTCGTGTGTGTGTGTGTGTGTGTGAGAGAGAGAGAGAGAGAGATCTGCCAGTCTGTCTAGATTTGTCATTCCTTTCATGCTGGAGATGCATGAAAGGAATGACATGATCAAGGGACCACTTTGAATAAACACAGCAATTTTTATATGTAGTGAGTCAAGAAATCTTATTCAGCAGGAAGTAAAAGATGATCAGTCAGTGGAAATTTTAAACACAGCATTGCTTAAGTATCCTAAATACTGTGAAAATAACATCTATCAAGCTTATTAGGCAGGTGATCCTGATATTATTGTTTTGGTCCCCTTTTGCTGCAGTATGAGCGACGCTAGCTCGTCCATTGGATCGGACCATTCTTTGCTGCTGATGTGCGTCAGTAAGCCTTGATGCCATGACCCAGTTGCTGGTTCACCACCATTCCTTCCTTAGATCACGTTTAATAGATAGGCAACTTATTAAAACACATGTAATCACTACATGTGTTTCGTGGACTAGAAGCACCTCAACGTGCGAAGCCACAGTTGTCACTCAGAAAAAGGTGGATTTCCTATTCCAGTTTGGGAACTGGTGCCCCAGGTGGAGGAATCGAAGTATTGGGGGTTTTGTTTAAGAGTAAGGGGAGAGAGGAGCTGGTCACTGACATTGACAGTGATGCGAATGTTTTACCAGTCTGATATATCATGCTCGAAATAAAGATCACTACACTGGGACTGTATGATTATGGCCAAAATAATTGTGATTATTTTGAACAGGATTGAAATCATGATTACTTTTTATGATTACTCATTTATTTTTATTTTTAAGTGTCAAAAATGGTTTTGTTGGCTGATCCTCTATGGCAGACAAGTTGTTCACCTTCGGCTGTACCAGACATCTGAATTGTTTTCTGTATCTGTCCTTTAACATGGTGTTACACGTCCAGACTAGTCCCGTAAACCTAAAGCTGCATGGTACGGGGAAGAGCAGTGATTGGCACATACAGTCATGTGGTCAGACACTGACTTGGTGAACATTTGATTTGCATTTGGTTTTACTTTGCATTCTAATGGCAGAGCATGCATTTTCAATATAATTTCAAATTATGACTCACCATTATGTAGCAGGATTGGGGACTGGTCCAGATATTACTCACTCTGTGTACATGCTTTCACTATCAGAATTTTTTTTGTTTTTATCTCTACATAATAAAAAGCTCAGGTTTAGATAAGTCCCAGTTTTGGTTTAGCTTGGAATTTCCAAGCAGTGAATAATAGTGCCCACTTAGGTGTAGGTGGGTGTGGGGGGGCATTTTTCTAGACTGGTCTGGGAGGGAGAGGTCAGACGGCATCAGACAATAGGTGTGGTGTGACAGCCTTCCATTCGCCTCTGTGGTAATCGAGTTTGAGGCACAGGGCCATAGCGCTAGTGTAGATTTGAAACCATGAATGTCAGAGGAGATGGTGTGACTGGAATCTTTTGTTATCATTGGCCAGGACTGCACCACTGTTTGGATCATGTAGGGAACAAACACAGTGTGAAAGACACCCTGTTTGTTAGCTGGATCTGGCCAATGTCTGAATGAGTTAGTAGTTCAACTAAAGCTGATGATTTACTGCAGTGATTTGCTTGTCTCAGTATCATAATAAAGCTAGAGATTACTTATTGGACAAGATAGGATGTGACAGCGAGAAATGTGCAGATTACCATTGACTTGTTTGAACCTGAAATCTGACTTGGAACACCATCAAGGTTGGTTTTTCTATTTAAATTTATTGGTGTACCATTTGTTTATATAGTAATAGCTCATATGCATATAAATGTACAGAGTCTGTGGTTCTCAGGACTTTGAGTTTTCATGCCAGACATTTTTAGATTTAAAATATAAAGTCATTCCCAAATGTCAACAATGTAAATATGATGAGATGATGTGGAAAGAGCACACTGTTTCTTTAGATTCATGTCTTGACGCTGATTCAATCTGCATAGCTTTTTAAATCAAGTAAAAATGATCCAGTGCTTGAATAAGGATTCAGTCCCTTTTAGTGCATATACTATGTACATGTTGGTAACATTCACTCAACTAGGCTGTTGTTAACCTGTGGTTGTTTCACTTATTTTGGTTCTCAGTCTGATGCGCATGCAAATTAGAACAATGTGTGAGAGTGCTGCACAAACAAAATGAAACCTCTCAGCTGTCCCAGCTGTCATAAGGCTGAATGCAGGGTGCAACCTAGACTGAGGCCAGTCCATCATAGGGTTGCTAACCAGTGCACTACTGTGCCACCTCAGTGTAGTGGGGTCCGAAGATATGCTGGAAAAACATAGAGGGGTTATTAAACCATTAACCAGGTCCAGTTATCCTGCTTTTACTGCTCAGCTGACTTTTAGTTAGCATTACATGATGTACTCACATACTGAAAGTGTATGTGCCTTTGCGCGTGCATGCGTGTGTGTGTAAACAGCATGAAAGGCCCAGCACTTTTCCAGAAAGGGACATGGACAGCAGAACCTCATTACATTTTAAAGGAGATTCCCATTGGATAAATACACATGTAATCTAACAATGTTTCACTGACTCCTTACAGAGCACTGTAACCATACAGAGCATTCAGATATTTACTGTGTAATGTAGACTTTTCACTGCTGTCAAAGCGTAATGTTATTACTTATCAGACAAAAAGAAGCAAATGTCTGAATGTGATGGAAATGGTATCACTGAGCTTTTCCACTTGGTCTGTTGGTGTGCTGTGAACTTCTGACAGGCTCAGTTTGTCTATGCCTTTATCTCTCACTCCCCCTCAGCACTCATGTTTTTGTCAGTACTTAAAACTAGGTTAAGTCAGCATAATCTCTCTCTCTCCCCTCTATGTGAGTGTATAAAAATCGTCTTGACAATGTTCTTTTTATCCAGAAAAAATATGTTCATGTTTACAGGAAATGATAATATGAAAATTGGAGACCATTAGATCATTAAGGTATTCTTTTCAGTCTCAGTGATGTGGTTAAAATTGACCTTTTCTCCCCAGCCACAAGATTGTGCCCTTTGGATCTGTCTTCCTTTGTTAAATTTCCTGTCAAGAGAAGGAGTTCCATCTGACTTCCTGTTGGATTGTGACATTTCCTGTGATGTGGAAGGAGGGGGGTTGGTACTTGCCTTGCGAAGGCCTTTCAGCTGTTTAAAGAAACAGGATGCAGTACACTGCATAGGCCACACTAGGAAAAACTCTGCTGAAAAATTTATCAGCTGACTGTAGCCTCAGTAACACAGCACAGACTTCAAATATCAGTTCAAATGTTGTAGCAACAAAATGGATTCACCGAAAGATAAGAAGGAAGTTGGATAGAAACCTTTACAAGATTTAAGATTTATTTGTTCCCTCAGCACAAAATACACAAAGAAACAAAAAACTTTAATTGCATTTCTGTTAACTTTTACCCACACTGAAAAATTGTCATTTCATGGCATTCCAATGGTAAAGTCAGAAAAGCCTAAACAATTGGGTTTATTTTGCCTTTTAGGAAGGCAGAACCATTCATGCTTCACTACCAACACAAGCAAGCAATTTATTTATATAGGACTTTCAGACAACTCCCAGCTGAAAACAAAGTGCTGTACACTTGACATGACAAACGAAAAATCATTAATTACATTAAATTAAAAATAAAAATCAGCACATTAGATAAGATGAAAGAAGTAAAATCATAACTGCAACACAATACTTTGTGTTTGTAGTTTGTATTTAAAAACACTGCTGCAGCCTGGTCAGTGTTCTGTTTAGTAGGGTGCAAATACACAATAGTGGCAGCAAAGTTTATGTTTTACACTTTTCCTACAGTTTAGATTCAGTTTAGATGCCTGCAGTTTACATTCCTACATCTTGCTTGTTAACCTTGGGTTGGTGGGGCTGCTCTGACTTCCTGGGTTGGGAATCCTAGTTGTGGTAGTGTCACAGATGAAGATTCCAACTTGATCTAGACCTTATGTTGTGGGCCTATTGCTGGCCTGAGTAGAGACCTTTGAATCTTGTTGCTCATCTGGGTTGATTGATGCAAGTTTATATTAAACATGTTTTCAGTCAGCACATCTTAGATGGCCGCTGCAGAAAGCAAAGAGCACACATTTGGACAATGTTTTCCTGTTCTTGATTCGAGCAACAATTGCAACAATTTTGGTGGTTTGAACTCCCTGTTTGCTTTGGTTTTCATTTTTAAAAGTAGCAGTTTAGTTGTGCTGTGTTGTCAGCAGTGTGCTTTTCTTCCTCTGCTCTAAACAGGGACTCCGTCCCGAACTCTGTCGACGATGTCTCTGTCCATTCGCCCAGTCAGACGCCTTACCTCCAGATCCATCACTAGGAGCCAGAGCTTTACTGGAGTCAATACCCACGACAAACCTTACCGGTATACACATGCATACATACACACGCAAATCCCTCCTAACCATGTGTTTTTTCTAGTGTAAAACGGCTTGTTTACGTACTATCTTGTACTTATGTGTAATAACTTGTCATAAGGACAAGTGTCTCTTTAATGTGATATATTGATGGTCTGTGACATGCTAAGGTTTCAGTCATCAATTTGATTGATCATCAGTGTTTGTATATGAGCCGTGAGCTGTACAACGCCCAGGTCTGGTCTTGAGGGATGTTATGGCGATCTCATAACTTTAGGTCAGGACTTCTAATAATGACTTGGTGTTTGTGGTGCTGCAGGAACCTTGTGGTGTTCAGCACTCCTGGTCTCAGCAGGAAGCCCAGCAGAGCAAGCAGATTGTTTACTATGTCGATCAAGGCCAACCCCCCACCGAAGGTTCCTCAACCAGAGCGACTGGATGAAGTGTATGAAGCACTGAAGAAAGGCCTTCAGTGAGTATACACTCAACAAATGCATTTCAGAGAGAGAGAGAGAGAGAGAGAGAGAGAGAGAGAGAGATTACGAGTGTGTGTGTCTGTGTTCTCAGGTCTTACCTGCAGGTTCATCAGATGGACTTGGACACACTTACCAGACAGATAAAAGAATCAAAGAGGAACTCTAGACTGGTATGTTGTTACTTTTGGCCCAGCATAAGAATAGATAAAGTGATATAGTTTCAGTTGCTGATGACTTGATATTTTCTGCCTTGCAGGGTTTCCTGTATGAGCTGGACAAGGTGAGCTTCTTTGAATCCTTCAGACAAGCACATATTAGAAATAAGTCAATTTTAATATTACCATTCTTGTTTTAAAATCCTGTGAAAGCTTAGTTATAAATGGAACAAATGCAAAGAATAAATGTGACTTTCTAATTTCCTTTAATCAGCAAGTAAAGGTGACTGAGCGGTACATTAGAAAACTGGAGTTTCATCTCAGCAAGGTAAGACCAGCGTCATTTCCTGACATGTAAGAGTATAGTTGTGAGATGACTTTTTGTATGACTTGCTAATTACATTGCTCTTTGTGCACAGGATGAACAGATGCTGAAAAACAGTTTGATAGAACATATTTTCTACAGCTGTCGTGGCTGTGTTTCTGTTATGATCCTGCATTTGTCATTTTTAAATTCGCATTGTTCATTAGTGTATACTTGATATTGTAACAAACTAGTGATCAGTATACATACATCAATATATTATTACTTTGTTATTATAGAGTACTTTTGAACTAAGGCTGTACGTGTCAAAATGTAGAACAAGTAGAGCGCTGTGACTGCTTTTGGGATACAGTCTTTTGCTTGTATACGTGTCATTGTGCACAAGCAAAAGACTGGTGGTGGTAACGCACTTTCTAGTGGCCACTGTCTGGATTACTAGTTGGATGATGAGGTTTGGTTTTTAATGGTGCTTCACCTTCACCGGTGCTTCATTCAAAATAATATAAAGTGGACTAAAATGACCAGCTGCAATGTTAGTACATTTTTACCAACTCAACGTGAAACATTTTTTTATTTTGCTGTAGTTACTACACAGAGCTTGTATTAAGCTGTGGTGTTTAAGCACACAGCTCCCTGTCACTGCTGAACAACCTTACTGTCTAGAACAAGACTGGCTTTGTCTTAAATTCTACTCTCAAGTGAAGTTGCTGTGAGCTTTTCCTCTCTACTCTCAGATTGAGGAGTTTTATGAGTCCTACTGCATGCAGAGGAGACTCAGGGATGGAGCCAACAAGATGGTGAAAGCGTACACCGCTTCCTCAGGAAGTAAGGAGGCCAAGGAGAGTTTAGCAGAAGCCAGTAAAGGATACAAGGAGTACACAGAGGTAAAAAAAAAGTACAAAGGCATGCAGTGGAAAATTGTTTTAGGTTAAACTGAGAAAATTGCTAAATGTCTAATTCTTGTAGAAGAAAGGAGCCATTGCACGAGCAAGTAGTAATAGGGAGTAGCGCTGTAAGTAAGACTGTACAGAAAAGACTGCCTGAAGGTCTCAATCTTTTCATTCTCTTTAGAACATGTGTGTGCTGGAGAATGACTTTGAGAACCAGCTGGGGAAGTTCCACATAAAGATGAAGGGTAAGAAGTAGAGATCATGTGGTGATATGACTACACAAAATCTTAAATAGAGGTAGCAACTCAATATGACATACGTTATGTGTGTGTCCCTTCTGATATGACCCTTAATTAATTGCAATGTTTTGGGGTGGTTTTGCAGTTTGACAAAATGCTAAGTCTGTTTCCACTTGTTCTTTCTTTTAGGTCTGGCAGGATTTGCTAGATTGTGTGCTGGTGACCAATATGAGGTTTGTCTCACCCGCCAAACCCTCCATTTTTCACTCTGAATTCATGGCAACAATAAATATGATTAAAACACTAAGAATATGGATGTCATGTTACCAGATATTTAGGCTGTGGTATTAGCTTGTGACGACACCAGAATCAATGACTGTATCTTTCAGTACCAAAATTCTGATAGTATGTTGTCACCTGAAAAATCAGCATTAAGATATAAGAAGGCGATAATTTGGATGTTGAATTGAAACTCACTCACTTTGAATTCTTTGAACAGATCTGGATGTTGCTCTTTTATGCATTTTGCTAAATAGGACAGGATTTCCTCCCTTGTTCTGAAAAGCGCAAGGCATCGTTTGTATTACATTTTATGAATCTATTATCTACCATTGGTCATCCAGAAGAGACTTGAAGAGATTTTGGCAAACTGTCAGGTGACTCAGGTGGGGAAAGCAGTGCGCCACTTGGGTGGAGCACTGCTGACCACAAGGATATTGTCGGGAGGTGGAAGGAATAGTTCGAGGACCTTCTTAAACCTGCTCATGTCTTCCATAGAGGAAGCAGAGTCTGGGGACGACAAGGATGATTCATCCATCACTTTGGGTGAGGTCACTGATTTAGTTAAACAACTCCTTGGTGGAAGGGCCCCTGGGGGTGGATTAGGTTTGCACTAAGTTCATGAAAGCTCTGGATGTTGTAGGGCTCTCTTGGTTGACATGCTTCTCCAATGTTGCATCGAGATCAAGGCCAGTACCTCTGGATTGGCAGACCAGGGTGGTGGTTCCCATCTTTAAGAAGGGGGACCGGAGGGTGTGCTTAAACTATTGGGGATCACACATAGCCAGATATATGTTGGACTCATTCACGGTGAGCGTTGGACTCTGCCAGGGCTGCCCTTTGTCACCAATTCTGTGCAGAATTTTTCTGGACAGAATTTCTAGGCATAGCCAAGTGCCGGAAGGCTTCTACTGGAGCGATCTTAGGCTACGTTCACACTGCAGGCCTTAATGCTCAATTCTGATT